GATGCCACTGGTTCTTCATGTTCCGCAGATGTAGATGTCACTGGTTCTTCACGTTCTGCAGATGTAGATGCCACTGGTTCACGTTCTGCAGATGCAGATGTCACTGGTTCTTCACGTTCTGCAGATGTAGATGCCACTGGTTCTTCACGTTCTGCAGATGTAGATGCCACTGGTTCTTCACGTTCTGCAGATGTAGATGCCACTGGTTCTTCACGTTCTGCAGGTGTAGATGCCACTGGTTCTTCACGTTCTGCAGGTGTAGATGCCACTGGTTCTTCACGTTCTGCAGATGTAGATGACACTGGTTCTTCATGTTCTGTAGATGCCACTGGTTCTTCACGTTTTGCAGATGTAGATGCCACTGGTTCTTCACGTTCCGCAGATGTAGATGCCACTGGTTCTTCACGTTCTGCAGATGTAGATGCCACTGGTTCTTCACGTTCTGCAGATGTAGATGCCACTGGTTCTTCACGTTCTGCAGGTGTAGATGCCACTGGTTCTTCACGTTCTGCAGATGTAGATGCCACTGGTGCTTCATGTTCTGTAGATGCCACTGGTTCTTCACGTTTTGCAGATGTAGATGCCACTGGTTCTTCCAAGTTCCGCAGATGTAGATGCCACTGGTTCTTCACGTTCTGCAGATGTAGATGCCACTGGTTCTTCACGTTCTGCAGATGTAGATGCCACTGGTTCTTCACGTTCTGCAGATGTAGATGCCACTGGTTCTTCACGTTCTGCAGATGTAGATGCCACTGGTGCTTCACGTTCTGCAGATGTAGATGCCACTGGTTCTTCACGTTTTGCAGATGTAGATGCCACTGGTTCTTCACGTTCTGCAGATGCCACTGGTTCTTCACGTTCTGTAGATGCAGATGCCACTGGTTCTTCATGTTCTGCAGATGTAGATGCCACTGGTTCTTCACGTTCTGTAGATGTAGATGCCACTGGTTCTTCACGTTCTGTAGATATAGATGCCACTGGTTCTTCACGTTCTGTAGATGTAGATGCCACTGGTTCTTCATGTTCTGCAGATGTAGATGCCACTGGTTCTTCACGTTCTGTAGATGTAGATGCCACTGGTTCTTCACGTTCTGCAGATGTAGATGCCACTGGTTCTTCACGTTCTGCAGATGTAGATGCCACTGGTTCTTCATGTTCTGTAGATTCCACTGGTTCTTCATGTTCCGCAGATGTAGATGCCACTGGTTCTTCACGTTCCGCAGATGTAGATGCCAATGGTTCTTCACGTTCTGCAGATGTAGATGCCACTGGTTCTTCACGTTCTGCAGATGTAGATGCCACTGGTTCTTCACGTTCTGTAGATGTAGATGCCACTGGTTCTTCACGTTCTGCAGATGTAGATGCCACTGGTTCTTCACGTTCTGCAGATGTAGATTCCACTGGTGTTCACGTTCTGTAGATGTAGATGCCACTGGTTCCTCACGTTCTGTAGATGTAGATGCCACTGGTTCTTCATGTTCTGCAGGTGTAAATGCCACTGGTTCTTCACGTTCTGTAGATGTAGATGCCACTGGTTCTTCACCTTCTGCAGATGTAGATGCCACTGGTTCTTCACCTTCTGTAGATGCCACTGGTTCTTCACGTTCTGCAGATGTAGATGCCACTGGTTCTTCACGTTCTGTAGATGTAGATGCCACTGGTTCTTCATGTTCTGCAGATGTAGATGCCACTGGTTTTTCACGTTTTGCAGATGTAGATGCCACTGGTTCTTCACGTTCTGCAGATGTAGATGCCACTGGTTCTTCACGTTCTGTAGATGCAGATGCCACTGGTTCTTCATGTTCTGCAGATGTAGATGCCACTGGTTCTTCACGTTCTGTAGATGTAGATGCCACTGGTTCTTCACGTTCTGTAGATGTAGATGCCACTGGTTCTTCACGTTCTGTAGATGTAGATGCCACTGGTTCTTCATGTTCTGCAGATGTAGATGCCACTGGTTCTTCACGTTCTGTAGATGTAGATGCCACTGGTTCTTCACGTTCTGCAGATGTAGATGCCACTGGTTCTTCACGTTCTGCAGATGTAGATGCCACTGGTTCTTCATGTTCTGTAGATTCCACTGGTTCTTCATGTTCTGCAGATGTAGATGCCACTGGTTCTTCACGTTCCTCAGATGTAGATGCAACTGGTTCTTCACGTTCTGCAGATGTAGATGCCACTGGTTCTTCACGTTCTGCAGATGTAGATGCCACTGGTTCTTCACGTTCTGCAGATGTAGATGCCACTGGTTCTTCACGTTCTGTAGATGTAGATGCCACTGGTTCTTCACGTTCTGCAGATGTAGATGCCACTGGTTCTTCACGTTCTGCAGATGTAGATGCCACTGGTTCTTCATGTTCTGTAGATTCCACTGGTTCTTCATGTTCTGCAGATGTAGATACCACTGGTTCTTCACGTTCCGCAGATGTAGATGCCAATGGTTCTTCACGTTCTGCAGATGTAGATGCCACTGGTTCTTCACGTTCTGCAGATGTAGATGCCACTGGTTCTTCACGTTCTGTAGATGTAGATGCCACTGGTTCTTCACGTTCTGCAGATGTAGATGCCACTGGTTCTTCACGTTCTGCAGATGTAGATTCCACTGGTGTTCACGTTCTGTAGATGTAGATGCCACTGGTTCCTCACGTTCTGTAGATGTAGATGCCACTGGTTCTTCATGTTCTGCAGGTGTAAATGCCACTGGTTCTTCACGTTCTGTAGATGTAGATGCCACTGGTTCTTCACCTTCTGCAGATGTAGATGCCACTGGTTCTTCACCTTCTGTAGATGCCACTGGTTCTTCATGTTCTGCAGATGTAGATGCCACTGGTTCTTCACGTTCTGTAGATGTAGATGCCACTGGTTCTTCATGTTCTGCAGATGTAGATGCCACTGGTTTTTCACGTTTTGCAGATGTAGATGCCACTGGTTCTTCACGTTCTGCAGATGTAGATGCCACTGGTTCTTCACGTTCTGTAGATGCAGATGCCACTGGTTCTTCATGTTCTGCAGATGTAGATGCCACTGGTTCTTCACGTTCTGTAGATGTAGATGCCACTGGTTCTTCACGTTCTGTAGATGTAGATGCCACTGGTTCTTCACGTTCTGTAGATGTAGATGCCACTGGTTCTTCATGTTCTGCAGATGTAGATGCCACTGGTTCTTCACGTTCTGTAGATGTAGATGCCACTGGTTCTTCACGTTCTGCAGATGTAGATGCCACTGGTTCTTCACGTTCTGCAGATGTAGATGCCACTGGTTCTTCATGTTCTGTAGATTCCACTGGTTCTTCATGTTCTGCAGATGTAGATGCCACTGGTTCTTCACGTTCCTCAGATGTAGATGCAACTGGTTCTTCACGTTCTGCAGATGTAGATGCCACTGGTTCTTCACGTTCTGCAGATGTAGATGCCACTGGTTCTTCACGTTCTGCAGATGTAGATGCCACTGGTTCTTCACGTTCTGTAGATGTAGATGCCACTGGTTCTTCACGTTCTGCAGATGTAGATGCCACTGGTTCTTCACGTTCTGCAGATGTAGATGCCACTGGTGTTCACGTTCTGTAGATGTAGATGCCACTGGTTCCTCACGTTCTGTAGATGTAGATGCCACTGGTTCTTCATGTTCTGCAGGTGTAAATGCCACTGGTTCTTCACGTTCTGTAGATGTAGATGCCACTGGTTCTTCACCTTCTGCAGATGTAGATGCCACTGGTTCTTCACCTTCTGTAGATGCCACTGGTTCTTCACGTTCTGCAGATGTAGATGCCACTGGTTCTTCACTTTCTGTAGATGTAGATGCCACTGGTTCTTCATGTTCTGCAGATGTAGATGCCACTGGTTCTTTACGTTCTGTAGATGTAGATGCCACTGGTTCTTCACGTTCTGCAGATGTAGATGCCACCACCGCCAAGTCAAATGTTCGTTAATAGAGAAGTCCCTCTTGGTTCTTTCGGTAAAGTCACGTAGAATGGAAATAAAATAATAAAAATAATAAAATACAATTCTCACGACGTTTCGGCCACAACACAAGTAGCCTTCTGTGTTGTTGCCGAAACGTCGTGAGAATTATATTTTATTACGTTTTATTTTTATTACTTTATTTCCATTGTGACTTTGCCGAAAGAACCGAGAAGATTAATCCCTGCACTCACGAAAGCTTTAAATCGAGAAGTCCCTGTTTGGCTCTTATTCTGAAGCGACCTAGTTTCACAAAGGCCATTGAGATATCGTCGCTTCGTCTCTGAATGATTCTCTACCCTCCAAATCATGGTGTGGTTTACCCTCTGAATCATTCTCTACCCTCTCACTCTCTCTGAATCACTCTCTGCCCTCTGAATCATTCTCTGCTCTCTCTACCTCTCTGAATCACTCTCTGCCTCTCTGAATCATTCTCTACCCTCTCACTCTCTCTGAATCACTCTCTGCCTCTCTCAATCATTCTCTGCTCTCTCTACCTCTCTGAATCACCCTCTGAATCATTCTCTGCCCTGTCACTCTCTCTGAATCACTCTCTGCCTCTCTGAATCGTTCTCTTCCCTCTCACTCTCTCCGAATCGTTCTCTGCTCCCTCGCTGAATCATTCCCTCCACTCTCTCCCACTGTGCCGGGTGAGCAGCGACCGTGTGGCCCGTATTGTCGTGATGACAATTAGCGCGTGAGCAGGCAGCATGCGTCTGTGCACCTGCGTAGGCAGACGCGGGGAGCGGCGGCGCAGTGGTTAGCTCGCCGCGCTACGAGCCCGGCGGCCCGAGTTCATTTCCCGCCTTGGCCGGTCCCCTGGGCCTCCCCCTAGGTCGGCTCGGCCTTAAACGACTAGCCGGGGTACGGCGCGTGAGCATCGGCACCGGCGGAGGCGGAGCGGTCCGGCCCGTGGCGTGAGCCACGGCGCCCCATCGCGTGTCACGCCGGCCTTCGTAGGCGGCACTTGCCCCGACGGCTTGTGTGGGCTACTCTGTGTGTGTGGGGGGGGGGGGGTCCGCCTTTGCCTTTGTGGCGCAGGCAGTGCCGCAGTGAGGCCGCGAGTCACGCGCAGCTGGTGCAGCAGATGCGCCGCTACGTGGGCACCCGGGCACGGGAGGAGGAGGAGGAGGAGGAAGGACCCGACAGGGACAGTCTGTTGGCACGCGTACAGGTCAGTGTGTACGTGCGCGTGTGTGTGTGGGGGCAGGGGGGAGCGGTAGTGTAGTGGCTAGCGCTACGCTGCGTTACGAACCCGGCAACAACCCGAGTTCGATTCCCGCGCACGGTTAACACCAGTGACGATTATCTGTCTCCCTCTGTGTCTCCGCGTGTCTCCCCTGTGTCTCTCTGTATCCCCCTGCATCTCCATGTGTCTCCCCTGTCTCTCCCCGTGTGTCTTCCCGTATCTCCATGTGTCTCCATGTGTCTCCCTGTATCTCCATGTGTCTCCCTGTGTCTCCCCGTGTGTCTCCCTGTCTCTCCCTGTGTCTCCCTGTATCTCCATGTGTCTCCCTGTGTCTCCCCGTGTGTCTCCCTGTGTCTCCCTGTGTCTCCCCTGTATCTCCATGTGTCTCCCTGTGTCTCCCCGTGTGTCTCCCTGTGTCTCCCTGTGTCTCCCCTGTATCTCCATGTGTCTCCCTGTGTCTCCCCGTGTGTCTCCCTGTGTCTCCCCGTGTGTCTTCCTGTATCTCCCATGTATCTCCCTGTGTCTCCCTGTATCTCCATGTGTCTCCATGTGTCTCCCTGTGTCTCCCCGTGTGTCTCCCTGTGTCTCCCTGTGTCTCCCCTGTATCTCCATGTGTCTCCCTGTGTCTCCCCGTGTGTCTCCCTGTCTCCCCATGTGTCTTCCTGTATCTCCCATGTATCTCCCTGTGTCTCCCCATGTATCTCTATGTGTCTCCCCGTGTGTCTCCCTGTATCCCCCTGCATCTCCATGTGTCTCCCCTGTCTTCCTGTGTCTCCCCGTGTGTCTCCCTGTATCTCTGTGTCTCCCTGTATCTCATGTGTCTCCATGTGTCTCCCTGTATCTCCGTGTGTCTCCCTGTATCTCCCTGTGTGTCTCCGTGTGTCTCCCCGTGTGTCTCCCTGTGTCTCCCCGTGTCTCCCTGTGTCTCCCCGTGTGTCTCCCTGTGTCTCCCCGTGTCTCCCCGTGTGTCTCCCCGTGTGTCTCCATGTGTCTCCCCGTGTGTCTCCCTGTGTCTCCCCGTGTGTCTCCCCGTGTGTCTCCCCTGTGTCTCCCTGTATCTCCCCTGTGTGTCTCCCCTGTGTCTCCCTGTGTATCCCTGTATCTCCCCTGTGTCTCCCCTGTGACTCCCCTGTGTCTCCCCGTGTGCCTCCCCGTGTGTCTCCCTATGTCTCCCTGTATCTCGCCGTGTGTCTCCTTGTGTCTCCCCTGTGTCTCCCCGTGTGTCTCCTTGTATCTCCATGTGTCTCCCCTGTTTCTCCCTGTATCTCCCCGTGTGTCTCTTTTTATCTCCGTGTGTCTCCCCGTGTGTCTCCCAGGTTCTGGACAAGGAAAACTCTCGCCTCCGGGCAGAGTCCGAGCTGCAGTGTCTCCGTCTCTCGTCGCTGTCTCACATCCTGACCACGCAGGAGGCCATTATCAACCCACCGGTCAGACACCCACTCACACACGCACAGACACTCACTCACACACGCACAGACACACACACGCACAGACACTCACTCACACACGCACAGACACACACTCACACACGCACAGACACACACTCACACAACAACAACAACCGCCATTCACCACTAAGTGGCGGTGACGTCACCACGACTCTTGTGCCAGGCTATATGCACCCTGAGGCCACGTGAAGTGTCGAACGCCCGCTGGCAGGAGGTCACGGGGCAGACCCAGGTGCCACGGGTCGACTGACTGAGATGACTGGCTAATGCACCACCTGTGCCCCCTACTGTGCCAACCTGCTGTGCTTTAGCCACCCGGCGCTCCGCTCGTTGTTGTGAGCGTCGTTCCTACGCCCTCCGTTGTTGTTGGAGGGCGACTACCTCCAACTGCCCAGTAGCGTCCTTCACGAGCCTCCTCCACAGAGGCCGATCTTGACACCGCTGGTACCAGTCATCGGCAAGTCCACTCAGCTCCACGTCCTCCTGTACCACATCACTCCATCTCTTCTCTAGCCCGTGCCGCGCCCGTTTAGCCCCCTCAATCCGGCCGAACAAAAGCTGTTTCGGCATGCGGTGGCTGGGCATGCGGGCTACATGACCCAGCCATCGCAGCCTTGCCCGCCGGAGGAGCTCACCGATGGGACCTTGCCCAGATCTTTCAAGGATTTGTGAGCTCCTCACACAATCCAGTCTGGTTAAACCCAGGATGGTTTGTAGGCAGGTCAGCCTAAATGTTTCTAACCAGCGAAGATGTTCCATTAGGGGGGTCCACGTTTCGCAAGCGTAGAGAAGGGAGGGAATGACCGTGGCCGAGAAGACCTGAAGCTTAGTGCGGAGCGACAGACCAGGTAGCTTCCACACAGCGTTACGCAACCGATGAAAAGATATTGCCGCTCGACTGATTCGGAGTGAGACCTCCGCTGTTAAACTGGAGCCGGTCATAAGCACACTGCCCAGGTATGGGAAACTCTCCACTCGCTCCACAACTGCCCCATCACCGATTGGGAGTTGTGGGGGTGTAGTGTCCGATGGTACAAAATACCCAGGCAGGTGCTTAGTTTTGGTGGGGCTGATGGTAAGGCCCCACCTCTTAGTGGCACGCTCCGGTCTCAGCAGCAGCGTCTCCAACTCCTCCTCTGAATGAGCAGCTATTACCAAATCATCAGCATACATAACGTGGTTGAGCAATAGGGAGCCATCCCTTGACCGCACCCAGGCATCGATCAGCCTCCCATTATATCTGTACCATATGGAGATTCCCCCGGTACAGCTATTGAAGGCTTCACGAACTACGTGGTCAAAATAGATGTTAAATAATGTGGGAGCCAGAGGACATCACTGTCGCACCCCAAGGTGTACAGGGAATGGCTCTGACTCCCAACCACGTAGTTTTACCCGGGCCCGCTCACCATCATGAAGGTCCTTAATGATCGTGAGCAGAGGGTCAGGTACTCCAAAAGCACGAAGAACAACCCAGAGCCCAGGCCTACTGATGGTATCATAGGCCTTGACCAGGTCAATAAAGCAGAGATGTAGGTCTTGTTGGAATTCCCTACACCTCTGCTGTAGCAGACGGACAGAAAATATGGCATCTGTGCAGGACCGCTCTTTCCTGAAACCGCATTCGGGCTCCGCAAGCCTCTCCTCAGCGTGCCTGGCAAGGCGATGCTGAATAATCCTTGCCAGGACCTTTCCCGGCACACTGAGGAGTGAAATGCCCCTGTAGTTGTTACAGTCTGTGCGGTCCCCCTTCTTAAAAAGGGGGACCACCAGGGCATCCTTCCAATCCTGCGGAACCGTCCAGTGGTCCAGACTGTTGTTATTATGTCATATAGGGCAGTCTGTGCACAAACGCCACCCTCCCTCAGCATTTCGCTTGGGAGATCATCTCTGCCCACTGCCTTTCCTGGTCTCAGACTCCGGATCGCCTTCAGTACTTCCTCAACAGATGGCACCTCAGCCAGCCACTCACAGGGGGTGACTTCTTCCAATATTTGAGGCACCGCAGCCTCAGCAGGGTCATCCTCACTTTGTGCCATGATGTTTTCCTGGCTGAGGGATTTTCCCTCTCCCAGGACCTCACAGAAATGCTCAGCAAATCTGCAAACCTGTTCCTGGGGGTCGGAGATTGGATCACCGTTTTTTCCCCTAATAATGGTAATAGGTGTGGCGCTGCAGGTTACTTTTTTGATGGAGTTAAATAGAGATTTGTGATCACGGGCCACTGAGGCAGACTCCATCTCCTCAGCAACCCGCGACCACCACCCATCCTTGCAGCGCCTCACGACTCTCCGAACCTCCGAGCGAAGGCTGCGGTAAGCCTCCTCAATCTCTGACGTGGGATTCTGTAGCCGATGACAGTGGGCCTCTCGCTTTTTCTCAACCATCCTGAACACCTCCTCTGTCAGCCAGGGTCTCTGGGGAGGTCTGGACCGCGTACCCACTCACACATGCACAGACACACACTCACACACGCACAGACACACACTCACACACACACAGACACACACTCACACACGCACAGACACACACACACGCACAGACACTCACTCACACACGCACAGACACTCACTCACACACGCACAGACACACACTCCCACACGCACAGACACACATTGCACACGCATAAGACAAAGGTCCCCCGTGTAAGGGGCTGTCCATAAATTACGTCACGTGATTTTGGACTATTTTTGACCCACCCCTCCCCCCCAAAAATAAAACATGCTCCAAATCGCTTTAAACTATTGTCATTGTAGTGCATATTTAATGTGGCGCTGCACTCTGATGTTGCAGAAGGAAACATTTATTAAAAAGCATTTAATTAAGTAGAACGCGTTGTCTCTATTTATTTAAAGTTACGCATTTTGATGTGACGTCAGATTTCTCAACCCCCCCCCCCCCCTCGTCACGCATCGTCACAAATGTCTGACCTCCCCCTAGGTGCGTGACGTCATTTATGGACGGCCCCTAACCTCTAACAGATTTTTAGTGCTGTTAGCGAGCAGCGCCTATGAAGGCCGGCATGGCACACAAGGGCGTAAATGGCCCGCGCCAAGCCCGACCACCTCTGTCTCATTTGAGGCTAAGTCGACCCAGAAGAGGCCCGGGATCGGTTTCAGATAATCGTCACTTTTGTTGGTGGCCGTGAGCGGGAATCAATCTTGGGTGGCTGGGTTCTTACTGCAGCGCGCTAACCGCTACACTACATACACAACAACAACAACAGCAACCACCGTTCAACACTAAGTGGCGGTGATGTCACCATGGCGTTTGTGCCATGCTAGGTGCGCTTTAAGAACGCGTGAAGTGTCAAAGGCCCGCTGGCAGGTTACAGGACAGTCCTAGCAGGTGCCACGAGTTGACTGACTCAGATGACTGACCGATGCACCACCTGTCCCCCCTACTGTGCCAACTTGCTGTGTTTTAGCCACCCGGCGCTCCGCTCACTGTTGTGAGCGTCGCTGCTCCGCTATTGCTGGAGGGCGGCTGCCTCCAACTGCTCAGTAGCGGCGTCCTTCACGAGCCTCCTCTACAGAGGCCGATCTTGACACCGCTGGTACCGGCCGTCAGCAAGTCCACCAATAAACCCCCCCCCCCCTCTGAAAGGCTCACAGTAATGACATCATCTCTGCTTTATTTAAGACCGGAAGCCAGAAGACTCCTTCACAATTGTGGCAAATCGCCTGATGAAGCTCGAATTGCAAATGGCGTGGGTTTACTCCCCAGCGCACCCGGTGTGCTGAAGTTTAAGCGCAAATTGGCACGTTTTGGTCACGCGACGAGCCTCGTGACTGTTATCGGCCTTTGTCGGGTGGTGGGTGGGTTAACGACCGCCAACAACAACAACAACAACAACAAAACGTCATCACGAACGGCGACGACGCTGACCATCCCGACGGCAGCGACGGTCGCGGGGAGGAAGCAGCTGGCGCATCCTAATCGTGCCCGCGTGCGTCCAAACCCAGGCCGCGACGGGCGGCGGCGACGGCGACGGGGACGGCGACGGGGACGGGCGGCGGGCGCTGCCGCCGCCGCCGCCGCTGCTGCTGCTGTCGCGCTGGCGTGAGAAAGTCTACGCCCTCCTCGTGCAGCTCGGCTGCCAGGAGGCCCGGCAAAGGGAGGAGGCGAGGGAGCGACAGTCCGAGGTACGAAGGGACGGCAGCCGCCAATCGCCAACCAGGTGGCGGCCGGCCATTGTTGCCGGCGCGAGAGTGCCGGTGGTTTTGTCAGCGTTCGGAGGTAGGTAGCCCCCCCGCCCCCCCCCCCACGCCCTGTGAGGGGCCTGGGTGATTTGTGTGCATGCGTCTTGCGTGCCCGCGGCGGCTGTGCCGCGCTTCGAAGCCGGCGGCCCGGGATTCCGTTCCCGCCAACGGTCGCCAACACCGGTGACGACGATCGCCCGAATCGGTCCTGGGACCCTCCCCGAGGTCGAATCGGCCTCGAATTAGTTACCTGGTGTAGCGGTGTGTAGTAAACATCGCCGCGGGTTGGGGGGGGGGGGGGGGGGGGAGACAAAGGCGGCCGGACGTGGTGCTGGCCACCCAACCCCTCGTGTTCGGTGCCGGCCTTCATAGGTGTGCCGGTGCTCGCTTGCAGCACTTGCCCCAACAGCCTGCTAGGTCTGTACGGGGGATCTTTGTCTTTGTACAGCTGTTGGAACTGCAGCAGGACCTGCGGAAGAACGAGGGGCAGGTGAAGCTACTGGAACTCGGCCTCTCCGACCGCACGGCCGAACTGAAGCTGCAGACCATCAGAGCTCAGGTTCGACTCCCTTGACAGCCACCACCACCGCTTTCACCTTATCCATCATCCTCACTGTGTTTGATCACCGTCCTGCAGGAGTGTAGGGGTCTTTGGGTCTCTGTGGGAGTCTGCGGGTCTCTTTGTGAGTCTATGGATGTCTGTGGGAGTCTGTGGGTCTCTGTGGGGGTTTGTGGGTTTCTTTGGGAGTTTTGTGGGTCTCTGTGTGAGTCTATGGGTCTCTGTGTGACTCTATGAGTCTCTGTGAGAGTCTATGGGTCTCTGTGTGAGTCTTTGGGTCTCTGTGTGTGTCTATGGGTCTCTGTGTGAGTCTTTGGGTCTCTGTGTGAGCCTATGGGTCTCTGTGTGAGTTTATGGGTCTCTGTGTGAGTATATGGGTCTCTGTGTGAGTCTATGGGTCTCTGTGTCAGTATATGGGTCTCTGTGTGAGTCTATGGGTATTTGTGTGAGTCTTTGGGTCTCTGTGTGAGTCTATGTGTCTCTGTGTGAGTCTATGGGTCTCTGTGTGAGTCTATGGATCTCTGTGTGAGTCAATGTGTCTCTATGTGAGTCTTTGTGTATCTGTGTGAGTCTATGTGTATCTGTGTGAGTCTATGTGTATCTGTGTGAGTCTATGGGTCTCTATGTGAGTCTATGGGTCGTCTCTGTGTGAGTCTATGTGTCTCTGTGTGAGTCTGTGTCTCTGTGCGAGTCTGTGTCTCTCTGTGTGATTCTATGGGTCTCTGTGTCTCTGTGTGAGTCTATGTGTCTCTGTGTGAGTCTATGGGTCTCTGTGTGAGTCTATGGGTCTCTGTGTGAGTCTATGGGTCTCTGTGTGAGTCTATGTGTATCTGTGTGAGTCTATGGGTCTCTGTGTGAGTCTATGGGTCTCTGTGTGACTCTGTGTCTCTGTGTGAGTCTATGGGTCTCTGTGTGAGTCTATGGGTATCTGTGTCAGTCTATGGGTATCTGTGTGAGTCTATGTACGTCATCGCAATGGGAAAGGGTTAACAGTGCATAGCTTCAGGGGCTTCCTAATGAAAGATTAGATGTGATGCAAACATGCAGTGATCTGCAAGCGCCACTGTACATGACAATTCATTATCAATGTCGTTGTTGTTGGTATTGTTGTTCCACAATTGGAACCTCCTTTGCCAGTAGAAAAATATGATAATAGTTTTTTTTACCCTTTTATCTGGCAACAAAACTGACACCTTTTTTTACAAAGAGTCATGTTTACATTGACCACAATACCTGCGCCTTTTGGCGTCATCTGGTCCAACACCATGTGAGACTAGGCTCTAAAGAAAGCTGTCTCGGGTGTGGACCAATCAATTTCAAGGGCAGTGGATACATGATCAGAGTTATGTTTTTTGTTTGCATTCCGACCGCAGGTATTGTGGTCAATGCAAACATGACTCCTTGTAAAAAAAGGTGTCAGTTTTGTTGCCAGATAAAAGGGTAAAAAAACAATTATCATTATGGTATTGTTGTTGTTGTTGATATTCATGTTGTTGGTATTGTTGTTGATGGTGGTGCTGTTGGTGGTGGTATTGTTGTTGGTGGTATTGTTGTTGTCGTTGGTGGTATTGTTGTTGTTGTGGCGTCAGGGTCTCCAGGAGGATCTGGATGCGTTGAAGGCAGCGGCCCAAGAGGCGCAGGAGAGGGCAGCGCTGGCGGAAGCGGCGGTGCACCGACTGCAGGAAACAGTCAGCAGGTTGGGCACCTCCCCGCCCCTCCCCCTCCCCGCCCCTCCCCGCCCCTCCCTCCCCGCCCCTCCCGCCCCCCCCCCCGCCCCTCCCTCCCCTCCCCAGATATTTATTTACCGAAATCAAGTTGATTTGAAGCTTTCGTGACTCTTTGGTTCTTTCGGTAAGGCGGTAAAGTCACGTTGAAAGAAATTAAATTAAGGTAGGGCACTCATAAGGGGTTGATGGGTATCTAGTAGAGTAGTGTATAGTATAGTGTATTGTGTAGTGTATAGTGTAGTGTATAGTGTAGTGTATAGTGGAGTGTATAGTGTAGTGTATAGTGTAGTGTATAGTGTAGTGTATAGTGTAGTCTATAGTGGAGTGTATAGTGTAGTGTATAGTGTAGTGAATAGAGTAGTGTATAGTGTAGTCTATAGTGGAGTGTATAGTGGAGTGTATAGTGTAGTGAATAGAGTAGTGTATACTGTAGTGTATAGTGGAGTGTATACTATGGTGTATAGTCTAGTGTATACTGTAATGTATAGTGGAGTGTATAGTGGAATGTAGTGTATAGTGTAGTGTATACTATAGTGTATAGTGGAGTGTATAGTGTAGTGTGTAGTGTATATAGTAGTGTATACTGTAGTGTATAGTGGAGTGTATAGTGGAGTGTATATTGTAGTGTATACTGTAGTGTATAGTGGAGTGTATAGTGTAGTGTATACTATAGTGTATAGTGGAGTGCATAGTGGCGTGTATAGGATGAATGTTGAGATTTATAAGAGTATGGGGTGACTAATGAGGTTTGAATTGATCTGTAATCATGTAGAGCACTGATAAGAGGTTGATTGGTATGATCTGCTGTCCCTTGGGGGTTCGCTATGCCGTTCTCATGCTTTAAACATATGCCATTGTTTTGTCTTCTTCATGTCATAGTTGTTCGTTGTTATTGTTATTATTACAAAGAATTATGCCGATAGCACAATCGGGTTACAAGACCCAAAGCCGCGGTGGCTATGAGATGTTAGCTCCCTCGCATGGTATACAGGAGGTCGTGGGTTCGATCCCGACCCTGATGCCTGCTGCTGTATATTTGGAGTTTGCGTGTCTCTCATCATCATCACGGTGGCTAGGAGATGTTAACTACCTCGCCTGGTATGCAGGAGGGCGTGGGTTCGATCCCGACCCTGACGCCTGCTGCATATTTGGAGTTTGCGTGTCTCTCATCATCATCACGGTGGCTAGGAGATGTTAACTACCTCGCCTGGTATGCAGGAGGGCGTGGGTTCGATCCCGACCCTGACGCCTGCTGTATAATTGGAGTTGGCGTGTTATCCCCGTTGTCACGTGGATTTTTCTCCAGGTCCTCCACATTTAGAAACACGCCTTTGAGAGTATTTGGCTGCTGTAAATTTCCACGTGGCAAACTCATTTCTTTAGAACTGCTTATTATTGTGTTCAGTTTGTTGTCCTTCCCCCGTACCTCCGATTAGCACGGTTGGCTTTGCGTACGGTGTGGAAGAAGTTCAACGTACAACAACAACAAACAACAACTGCCATTCGCCACTAAGTGGCGGTGACGTCACCACAACGCTTGTGCCATGCTATGTGCACCTTGAGGCCACGTGAAGTGTCGAACGCCCGCTGGCAGGAGGTCACGGGGCAGACCCAGGTGCCATGGGTCGACTGACTGAGATGGCTGAGATGAGTGGCTGATGCACCACCTGTGCCTCTACTGTGCCAACTTGCTGTGCTTTAGCCACCCGGCGCTCCGCTCGTTGTTGTGAGCATCGCTCCTCCGCCCTCCGTTGTTCTTGGAGGGCGACTGCCTCCAACTGCCCAGAAGCGTCCTTCACGAGCTTCCTCCTCCACAGAGGCCGATCTTGACACCGCTGGTACCGGTCATCGGCAAGTCCACTCAGCTCCACGTCCTCTTGTACCACATCACTCCATCTCTTCTCTAGCCCGTGACGTGCCCGTTTAGCCCCCTCAATCCGGCCGAACAGAAGCTGTTTAGGCATGCGGTGGCTGGGCATGCGGTGGCTGAGCATGTGGGCTACATGGCCCAGCCAACGCAGCCTTGCCTGCCGGAGGAGCTCACCGATTGGACTTTGTCCAGATCTTTCAAGGATTTGTGAGCTCACACAATCCTGCCTGGTTAAACCCATGATGGATAGTAGGCAGGCCAGCCTAAATGTTTCTAACCGGCGAAGTTGCTCCATTAGGGGGGGGGGTCCACGTTTTGCAAGCGTACACACCCACACACGCTCGCACGCACGCCCTTTACAGACGGACGGACGGAACCGAATGTGCTGCCTCTTGACAGGCGCTGGAGAGAGGTGACGGACGGCGAAGGGAAAGTCGTGGGCGCGATGGAGTCGCTCGGCCGCCTCTCCGAACGCATCCGTTTCGCCACGAGGAGAGTGGACCTCGTACGAGGTACAGGGCCTGGGTTCGCTGTGTCGACACGGGAGGTGTGGGCGGGCAGCATACGCGCTAGAGCAATAATTAGCGTCAAAATCGGCTCGCGCGCGTGCGAATGTGTGCGTGTTGTGCGTGTGTTGAACTTCTTTCGCACCGTACGTAGCCAACCGTGCTAATCGGAGGTTGTGTATAGTGTAGTGTATCATAGTGTAGTGTATGTTAGAAATGGGTTCTCAATCTAGTGTGTGGCGGTGGTGGTGGTGGCGGCGGCGGCGGCGATTTGGCTGTGGTAGTGATGGTGGTGGTTGCCTGGTGGTGGTGTAGGTTTGTATGTATGCTGAACTTCTTTCACATCACCGTACGTGGCCGACCGTGATGATCAAGGGTGCGGGGGAAGGACAACAAACTAAACACAACAACAACAAGCAGTTGTAAATAAATTACGTTGCGGTGGAGAGGGGAGCCTCGTGACGGGTCGGATGTTGAGGCTGTGTGTGTGTCAGTGTTGAGGCTGTGTGTGTGTCAGTGTTGAGGCTGTGTGTCAGTGTTGAGGATGTGTGTCAGTGTTGAGGCTGTGTGTGTGTCAGTGTTGAGGCTGTGTGTCAGTGTTGAGGATGTGTGTGTGTCAGTGTTGAGACGGTGTGCGTCAGTGTTGAGGCTGTGTGTCAGTGTTGAGACTGTGTGTCAGTGTTGAGGCTGTGTGTGTGTCAGTGTTGAGGCTGTGTGTCAGTGTTGAGGCTCTGTGTGTCAGTGTTGAGGCTGTGTGTCAGTGTTGAGGCTGTGTGTGTGTCAGTGTTGAGGCTGTGTGTGTGTCAGTGTTGAGGCTGTGTGTGTGTCAGTGTTGAGACTGTGTGTCAGTGTTGAGGCTGTGTGTGTGTCAGTGGTGAGGCTGTGTGTGTATCAGTGTTGAGGCTGCGTGTGTGTCAGTGTTGAGGCTGTGTGTGTATCAGCGTTGAGTCTGTGTCTGTCAGTGTTGAGGCTGTGTGTGTGTCAGCGTTGAGTCTGTGTCTGTCAGTGTTGAGGCTGTGTGTGTCAGTGTTGAGGCTGTGTGTGTCAGTGTTGAGGCTGTGTGTGTGTCAGCGTTGAGTCTGTGTCTGTCAGTGTTGAGGCTGTGTGTGTCAGTGTTGAGGCTGTGTGTGTCAGTGTTGAGGCTGTGTGTGTCAGTGTTGAGGCTGTGTGTGTGTTAGTGTTGAGGCTGTGTGTGTGTCAGCGTTGAGGCTCTGTGTGTGTGTCAGTGTTGAGGCTGTGTGTGTGTCAGTGTTGAGGCTGTGTGTGTGTGTGTTAGTGTTGCGGCTCTGTGTGTGTGTCAGTGTTGAGGCTGTGTGTGTGTCAGTGTTGAGGCTGTGTGTGTCAGTGTTGAGGCTGTGTGTGTGTGTGTCAGCGTTGAGGCTCTGTGTGTGTGTCAGTGTTGAGGCTGTGTGTGTGTCAGTGTTGAGGCTGTGTGTGTGTCAGTGTTGAGGCTGTGTGTGTGTTAGTGTTGAGGCTGTGTGTGTGTCAGCGTTGAGGCTCTGTGTGTGTGTCAGTGTTGAGGCTGTGTGTGTGTTAGTGTTGAGGCTGTGTGTGTGTCAGCGTTGAGGCTCTGTGTGTGTGTCAGTGTTGAGGCTGTGTGTGTGTGTGTCAGCGTTGAGGCTCTGTGTGTGTGTCAGTGTTGAGGCTGTGTGTGTGTCGGTGTTGAGGCTGTGTGTGTCAGTGTTGAGGCTGTGTGTGTGTCAGTGTTGAGGCTGTGTGTGTGTCAGTGTTGAGGCTGTGTGTGTCAGTGTTGAGGCTGTGTGTGTGTCAGTGTTGAGGCTGTGTGTGTGTCAGTGTTGAGGCTGCGTGTGTCAGTGTTGAGGCTGTGTGTGTGTCAGTGTTGAGGCTGTGTGTGTGTCAGTGTTGAGGCTGTGTGTGTCAGCGTTGAGGCTGTGTGTGTGTCAGTGTTGAGGCTGCGTGTGTCAGTGTTGAGGCTGTGTGTGTCAGTGTTGAGGCTGTGTGTGTCAGTGTTGAGGCTGCGTGTGTGTCAGTGTTGAGGCTACGTGCGTCAGTGTTGAGGGTGTTTGTGTGTCAGTGTTGAGGCTACGTGTGTCAGTGTTGAGGGTGTGTGTGTCAGTGTTGAGGCGGTGTGTCAGTGTTGAGGGTGTGTGTGTCAGTGTTGAGGCGGTGTGTCAGTGTTGAGACTGTGTCAGTGTTGAGGCTGTGTCAGTGTTGAGACTGTGTGTGTCAGTGTTGAGGCTGTGAGTGTGTCAGTGTTGAGGCTGTGTGTGTGTGTCAGTGTTGAGGCTGTGTGTGTGTCAGTGTTGAGGGTGTGTGTGTCAGTGTTGAGGCTGTGTGTGTCAGTGTTGAGGCTGTGTGTGTCAGTGTTGAGGCTGTGTGTGTGTCAGTGTTGAGGCTGTGTTTGTGTGTCAGTGTTGAGGGTGTGTGTGTCAGTGTTGAGACTGTGTGTGTCAGTGTTGAGACTGTGTGTGTCAGTGTTGAGACTGTGTGTGTGTCAGTGTTGAGGCTGCGTGTGTCAGTGTTGAGGCTGTGTATGTCAGTGTTGAGGGTGTGTGTTTGTCAGTGTTGAGGCTGTGTATGTCAGTGTTGAGGCTGTGTGTGTCAGTGTTGAGGGTGTGTGTTTGTCAGTGTTGAGGCTGTGTATGTCAGTGTTGAGGCTGTGTGTGTCAGTGTTGAGGGTGTGTGTTTGTCAGTGTTGAGGCTACGTGTGTCAGTGTTGAGGGTGTGTGTGTCAGTGTTGAGGGTGTGTGTGTCAGTGTTGAGACTGTGTGTGTCAGTGTTGAGACTGTGTCAGTGTTGAGGCTGCGTGTGTCAGTGTTGAGGCTACGTGTGTCAGTGTTGAGGCTGTGTGTGTCAGTGTTGAGACTGTGTGTGTCAGTGTTGAGGCTGCGTTTGCGTCAGTGTTGAGGCTGCTTGTCAATATTGGGGCTGTGTATGTCAGTCTATGGGTCTGTGCGTGAGTCTGTGGGTCTCTGCGTGAGTCTGTGGGTCTCTGCGTGAGTCTGTGGGTCTCTGCGTGAGTCTGTGGGTCTCTGCGTGAGTCTGTGGGTCTCTGCGTGAGTCTGTGGGTCTCTGCTTGAGTCTGTGGGTCTCTGCGTGAGTCTGTGGGTCTCCGTGTGAGTCTGTGGTTCTCTGCGTGAGTCTGTGGGTCTCTGCGTGAGTCTGTGGGTCTCTGCGTGAGTCTCTGGGTCTCTGCGTGAGTCTCTGGGTCTCTGCGTGAGTCTGTGGGTCTCTACGTGAGTCTGTGGGTCTCTGCGTGAGTCTGTGGGTCTCTGTGTGAGTCTCTGGGTCTCCGCGTGAGTCTGTGGGTCTCTGCGTGAGTCTGTGGGTCTCTGCGTGAGTCTGTGGGTCTCTGCGTGAGTCTGTGGGTCTCTACGTGAGTCTGTGGGTCTCTGCGTGAGTCTCTGGGTCTCCGCGTGAGTCTGTGGGTCTCTGCGTGAGTCTGTGGGTCTCTGCGTGAGTCTGTGGGTCTCTGCGTGAGTCTGTGGGTCTTTGCGTGAGTCTGTGGGTCTCTGCGTGAGTCTGTGGGTCTCTGCGTGAGTCTGTGGGTCTCTGCGTGAGTCTGTGGGTCTCTGCGTGAGTCTGTGCGTCTCTGCGTGAGTCTGTGGGTCTCTGCGTGATGAGTCTGTGGGTCTCTGCATGACAACGGTGCGGTGCCATTCAGTGGTGCACTGTGTGGTATGGCAACCTGGTGCGGTTTCAGGGCTGGTGCTGAGGAGGGACGCCCTGCACCGTCTCGCCCTGCAGGAGCAGCCCACCATCGCTCCCAGCCCCGACGTCCCCGCCAGGCACGACATCACTTCCTGTCCGTCGCCCTGTGTGGTGCCATTTGTTGATAGCGGTATTGTGGTCGCATGGTGATCGTGATGAAGGATGATATTGATGCCTCGATGATATGAGACGCTGTGATGTGGGGATGACGATGATCATGGTGATGTTGAAATATTGTAATGTGGTGGTGGTGGTGGTGGTACTACTAATAACTTAGCGATATTTTCATCATCATGATGACTGGCGATGAAGATGTTGCAACGGCGATGATGATGGTGTGGTTATGGTGCTCCATGTTGAAGATGACAAAGTGGACATAACGATGTAGGCCATGCAGTGAACTTGTCGCTACTTTGTAATGATGGTGTGGTGGTGACGGCGGTGATGATGACGACGATGTTGACGATGATGATGTGGTGATGTTGTGCAGGCCGGATCTGCAGGCTGAGCTGAGCCATCTCCAAGCGGAGAGAGACCTCCTCTCGTCACAGATGCAGAGGGACGCTCTCCTCCTGCAAGAGAAAATCTCACTCGCCACGCACAGGGGTAGGTACATGGAGACAGAGACACACGGGGAGAGAGACACAGGGCTAGGGACATGGAGACAGAGACACACGGGGAGAGAGACACAGAGGTAGGGACGTGGGGACAGAGACACACGGGGAGAGAGACACAGAGGTAGGGACATGGAGACAGAGACACACGGGGAGAGAGACACAGAGGTAGGGATATGGGGACAGAGAGACACGGAGAGAGAGACAGAGGTAGGGACATGGGGACAGAGACACACGGGGAGAGAGACACAGAGGTAGGGATATGGAGACAGAGACACACGGGGAGAGAGACACAGAGGTAGGGACATGGGGACAGAGACACACGGGGAGAGAGACACAGAGGTAGGGATATGGAGACAGAGACACACGGGGAGAGAGACACAGAGGTAGGGACATGGGGACAGAGACACACGGGGAGAGAGACACAGGGTAGGGACATGGGGACAGAGACGCACGGGGAGAGAGACGCACGGGGAGAGAGACGCACGGGGAGAGAGACGCACGGGGACAGAGACGCACGGGGACAGAGACACACGGGGAGAGAGACACAGAGGTAGGGACATGGGGACAGAGACACACGGGGAGAGAGACACAGGGCTATGGACATGGGGACAGAGACACACGGAGAGAGACATGGGGACAGAGAGACACGGGGAGAGAGACACAGGGTAGGGACATGGGGAGAGAGACGCACGGGGAGAGAGACGCACGGGGAGAGAGACGCACGGGGAGAGAGACGCACGGGGAGAGAGACACACGGGGAGAGAGACACAGAGGTAGGGACATGGAGACAGAGACACACGGGGAGAGAGACAGGGGTAGGGACATAGGGGTCTCTCTCCCCTATGTCCCTGATGATGATGTTGACGTTGATGACGATGCTGATGGCAACGATGATGATGTTGATGGCGACGATGATGATGTTGATGATGTTGACGATGGCGATGTTGATGATAATGATGCTGACGATGTTGAAGTTGATGATGATGTTGAAAGTTGATGATGTTGATGATGATGTTGAAGTTGATGATGTTGATGACGATGATGTTGAAGTTGATGATGTTGACGATGATGTTGAAGTTGATGATGTTGACGATGTCGATGACGACGACGATGTTGACGACGACGACGATGATGTCCACATCCCAGCGGAGGAGGCCTGTGCGGAGCAGCTCCGGCGCCTGCGGTCTCTGGCTGAGGAGCGGGGCGAGCTGCACGAGGAGACCCAGGCTCGCCTGCAGCAGACGCAGCACGAGCTGCAGCAGGCGCAGCACGAGCTGGAAGCCGCCCGCACCCAGCAGCAGCAGCAGCTGGAACAGCTGCAGCAGGAGCGCGGAGCGAAGGATCAGGGTGCCCAACACACGCAGACGTACAATACGGGCCTCATCGTCGGCGTCGCCATCGTCGCTACCATCAGCATCATTGCCATCATCATTATCGGTATCATCGCTACCATCATCATCGCCGCCACCATCATCACCGCTACCATCATCATCGCCGCCACCATCATCATCGCGATCATCATCATAGCTACCATCATCGTCACCGCTGCCATCAACATCGCTATCAGCATCATCATCGCTACCATCGTTATCACCGCCACCATCATCACCACTACCATCATCATCAACGCCACCATCATCATCGCGATCATCATAGCTACCATCATCGCCACCGCTGCCATCAACATCGCTATCAGCATCATCATCGCTACCATCATCACCCCCTTTGTGGTACGTCACCTTCGTAGGTGCTTGCGAATAACACTTGCCTCGACAGTCTGCTAAAGGCTATACGGGGGATCTTTGGTGGTGGTTGTGGCAGTGGTGGTGGTGTCGGTGTTGGTTGCTAAATTATGAGTTGTGGCTGAGTGTAGTTGTTGTGGTGGTGGTGGTAGTGGTGTCGGTATTGGTTGTAAAATGATGAGTTGTGGGTGAGTGTAGTTGTGGTGGTGGTGGTGGTGTCGGTATTGGTTGTTAAATGATGAGTTGTGGGTGAGTGTAGTTGTGGTGGTTGTGGTTGTAGCGGTGCGAGCTGTTGAGCGGGACCTCCACGCTCGCTACGCGGAGCAGCTCTCCGGCTTGGAGCAGAGTCTGAACCAGGCACGCAGGGAGCACGGCAAGGCCGGTACGCAGACACCACTCGCTCGCTCACTCACTCGCTCGCTCGCTCACTCACTCACTCACCTACTCACTCGCTCACTCACTCACTCGCTAACTCACTCGCTCACTCACTCACTCGATCACTTACTCACCTACTCACTCGCTCACTCACCTACTCACTCGCTCACTCACTCGCTCACCTACTCACTCGCTCACTCACTCACCTACTCACTCGTTCACCTACTCACTCGATCACTTACTCACCTACTCACTCGCCTGCTCACTCGCTCACTCACCTACTCACTCGCTCACTCACTCGCTCACCTACTCACTCGCTCACTCACTCACCTACTCACTCGCTCACCTACTCACTCGATCACTTACTCACCTACTCACTCGCCTGCTCACTCGCTCACTCACCTACTCGCCCACTCACTCGCTCACTCACTCACCTACTCACTCGCCTACTCACTCGCTCACCTACTCACTTGCTCACTTACTCACCTACTCACTCGCCTACTCACTCGCCTACTCACTCGCTCACTCACTCGCTCACCCACTCACTCAGTCTGAACCAGGCACGCAGGGAGCACGGCAAGGCTGGTACGCAGACACCACTCGCTCGCTCACTCACTCGCTCACTCACTCGCTCACTCACTCGCTCACCTACTCACTCGCTCACTTACTCACCTACTCACTCGCCTAACCACTCGCTCACTCACTCACCTCACTTGCTCACTCGCTCGCTCACTCAGTCTGTACCAGGTGCGCAGGGAGCACGGCAGGGCCGGTATACACACACGCCACTCACTCATCCACCTACTCATTCGCTCAAACACCCGCTCACTCAATCATCCACCTACTGACTCGCTCAATCACCCGCTCACTCACCCACTCACTCGCCCATTCGCTCACCTACTTACTCACCTACTCACTCGCTCACTCACTTACCCACTCACTCATCCATTCACTCACTCCCTCACTCACTATGTGTCTCGGAGTCTCTCTGTTAGTTTGTTTATCATATTATTAAGCCCATCCCACTTTTAACCCGGCCTCTATGTATCTCAGTGCATCTCTGTGTGTCTCTATGAGTCTCTACGTCTCTAGGAGTCTCTATGTATCTTTGTGTGTCTCAATGAGTCTTTTTGTATCTAAATGCACCGCTGTGTGTCTCTGAGTCTCTATGTGTCTCTAGGAGTCTCTATGTATCTCTATGTATCTCTGTGTGTCTCTTTGAGTCTCTAGGTATGTATGTGTGTCTATGAGTCTCTATGTGTTTCTAGGGGTTTCTATGTATCTCTGTGAGTCTATTTATCTCTGCATTTCTGTGTGCCTCTGAGTCAGTGTGTCTCTAGGAGTGTCTATGTATCTCTCTGTATCTCCATGTATCTCTATGAGTATGCATCTCTATGTATATCTATGTGTCTCTGAGTCTCTACGTATCTGTATGTGCCTGTCTGAGTTTCTATGTATCTCTATGTATCTCTGTATGCCTGTATGAGTCTATGTATCTCTGTGTGTGTATGAGTCTGTATCTGTGTGTGTCTGTATGAGTCTATGTATCTCTGTGTGTCTGTATGAGTCTATGTATCTCTGTGTGTGTCTGTGTGTGTCTGTATGTCTGTGTGTGTCTGTATGAGTCTATGTATATCTGTCTGTATGAGTCTATGTATCTCTGTGTGTGTCTGTATGTGTCTCTGTATCTCTGTATGAGTCTATGTATCTCTGTGTGTCTGCATGAGTCTATGTATCTCTGTGTGTGTCTGTATGAGTCTATGTATCTCTGTGTGTGTCTGTATGTGTCTCTGTATCTCTGTGTGTCTATGAGTCTATGTATCTCTATGTATCTGTATGTCTGTGTGTGTCTGTATGAGTCTATGTATCTCTGTGTGTGTCTGTATGAGTCTATGTATCTGTGTGTGTGTCCGTATGTGTCTCTGTATCTCTGTGTGTCTGTATGAGTCTATGTATCTCTGTGTGTATGAGGCTATGTATCTGCGTATCTCTGTGTGTCTGTATGAGTCTATGTATCTCTGTGTGTGTCTGTTTGAGTCTATGTATCTCTGTGTGTGTCTCTATGTGTCTCTGTATCTCTGTGTGTCTGTATGAGTCTATGTATCTGTGTGTATGAGTCTATGTATCTGTGTATCTCTGTGTGTCTGTATGAGTCTATGTATCTCTGTATATCTGTGTGTGTGTGTGCGAGTTTATGTATCTCTAGGAGTCTCTGTCCGTTTGTTTATTATTATATACCTAGCCCACTTTTCACCCAGACGACAAGAGAGCAGTACGGGCTTCAACGTCACCAACCTAACATTTAAACTACGCAACAGCGTATTTGAGAATCACATTTAAAAGACGTGCAACGTGTGCACTGTTGAACATGAGAATGAAAATAACAAGACTCGAAATCTCATTCGTGGCCCTCGGACTAATCCGCGACACTGTTGTTTTCAGTTATCCAAGCGGGCTGATTGTTGCTATCATTTAATTTAGAAACACAGTGAGCAGCAACTGAACGCCGTGAGAAAAAATGTTTGCCCTCGCACACGAGCACGTAGGAAGATCGACCGACGGTTTATTATAGACGAGTTTTACTACCCGGCTTCGCCCGGGACTTGGATTCACCACGCCCGGCCGCCTTTGTCTCCCCAGTGGCGATGTTCACGCACACCACAGCAGTTACTCGTTTGAGGCTGAGTTGACCTAGGGGAGGCCCAGGTCCGGTTCAAATAATCGTCACCGGTGGTGGCCGTGAGCGGGAATCGAACTCGGGTCGCCGGGTTCGTAGCGCGGCGTAGCGCTAACCACTACGCTACCGCTCCCCCCCCCGACACTACACACAGATACACACACACCCAGATATACACACACACACAGATACACACACAGATACACACACGTAAACACACACACAGATACACACACCCACACAGACACACACGCACAGATACACACACACAGATACACAGACAGATACACACACCCACGTATACACAGACACAAAGACAAAGATCCCCCATATAGCCTTAACAGACTGTAGGGGCAAGTGCTGTTAGCGAGCACCTATGAAGGCCGAAACGGTACACGAGGGGGTGGGTGGCCAGCACCACGCCCGACCGCCTTTGTCTCCCTAGTGGCAATGTTTACACACCGCACCAGGTACTCATTTGAGGCTGAGTCGACCTAGGGGAGGCCCGGGACCGGTTCAGATAATCGTCACTGGTGTTGGCCGTGAGCGGGAATCGAACCCGGGTCGCCAGGTTCATAGCGCAGCGCGCTAACCGCTACACTACCACTCCCCACTACTGCTCTATACACAGACACACACACAGATACACACACACACAGACACACACACACCCACACAGACAGACACACACACAGACAGCGCGCTAACCACTACACTACAATGCGTTGCGCTTCCACGTGCGCGGGTCACGTGACAGATTTGACGTCACAGCTCATTTGCCGTGCAAAAAATAAATGCATTATGGAGCTCCCCCCCCCAAAAAAACCCACACAAATGTATTTTAATCATCTTTGCATGGTGTACAGCCTGGAAAGTACCCACATGGCAAATTTCAAGTTTGTTGCATGTCGGGAAGTACGCTCAACATTTGGAACAGACAGACACACAATCACAACTTTGCCTTTTATATATATGGAGATATTAAAACAAACGTGTCGACTCTGTGTCTCTCCTTACCGCAGTGGTGGCTCTTCGCCAGGGGGAGCGCGAGTGGAGCCGGGAGAGGGAGCGAGCCAGGGAGCTGGCTCAGGCTCGCGACAGGCATCACCACGTGCAGCTGCAGCAGCTGCAGAGCCACCTCCAGCAGCTGCAGGTGGACGGTAGCCTCATGAAGGTGCGCTCGTTTCACTCGCTCACCCGCCCACCCACCCACTGACTCACTCACCCACTCACTCACCCACTCACCCACCTAACCACTCACCCACTCACTCACTCACCCATCCACTCACCCACTCACTCACCCACTCACCCACCTAACCACTCACCCACTCACTCACCCACTCATTCACTCGCCCACCCACCCACTGACTTACTCACCCACTCACTCACCCACCCACCTAACCACTCACCCACTCACTCACCCACTCACTCACTCACCCGTCCACCCACTCACTCACCCATCCACCCACTCACCCATCCACCCATCCACACACACCCACTCAGCCAGCCACTTACTCACCCACCCACTCACTCACCCACCCACTCACCCACCTAACCACTCACCCACTCACTCACTCACCCATCCACCCACTCACCCATCCACCCACTCACCCATCCACCCACTCACTCATCCACCCACTCACACACCCACTCAGCAAGCCACTCACTCACCCACCCACTCAACCACTCACCCACCTAACCACTCACCCACCCACTCACCCACCCACTCACCCACCCACTCACCCACTCACCCACTCACTCACCCACTCACCCATCCACCCACTCACTCACTCACCCACTCACCCACCCACTCACCCAACCACTCACCCAACCACCCACCCACTCACCCACTCACTCACCCACCCACTTAACCACTCACCAACTCACTCACCCAACCACTCACCCATCCAACCACTCACCCATTCACTTACCCACTCACCCACCCACTCACTCAACTCACTCACACTCCCACCCACTCACCCTCTCTCTCACTCACTCACCCACTCACCCACTCACTCACCCACCCACTCACTCACTCACTCACCCACACACCCACTCACCCAACCACTCACCCAACCACTGAACCCACTCACTCACCCACCTACTCACCCTCTCTCTCACTCACTCACTCACCCACTCACTCACTCACCCACCAACTCACCCAACCACTCACCCAACCACTCACCCTTCCACCCACCCACTCACCCTCTCACTCACTCACCCACTCACTCACCAACTCACTCACCAACTCACTCAACCCACTCACTCACCCACCCACCCACTCACCCAACTACTCACCCAACCACTGAACTCACTCACTCACCCACCTACTCACCCTCTCTCTCACTCACTCACTCACCAACTCACTCACCAACTCACTCAACCCACTCACTGACCCACCCACCCACCCACCCTCTCACTCACTCACCCACTCACCCACTCACTCACTCACTCACTCACCCACCCACCCACTCACCCAACCACTCACCCAACCACTGAACCCACTCACTCACCCACCTACTCACCCTCTCACTCACTCACTCACCCACCAACTCACCCAACCACTCACCCAACCACTCACCCTTCCACCCACCCACTCACCCTCTCACTCACTCACCCACTCACTCATCCACTCACTCACCAACTCACTCACCAACTCACTCACCCACTCACTCACCCACTCACTCACCCACTCACTCACCAACTCACTCACCAACTCACTCAACCCACTCACTGACCCACCCACTCACCCTCTCACTCACTCACTCACCCACTCACCCACCCACTCACTCACTCACCCACCCACCCACTCACCCAACCACTCACCCAACCACTGAACCCACTCACTCACCCACCTACTCACCCTCTCTCTCACTCACTCACTCACCCACTCACTCACTCACTCACCCACCAACTCACCCAACCACTCACCCAACCACTCACCCTTCCACCCACCCACTCACCCTCTCACTCACTCACCCACTCACTCACCCACTCACTCACCAACTCACTCACCAACTCACTCAACCCACTCACTCACCCACCCACCCACTCACCCAATCACTCACCCAACCACTGAACTCACTCACTCACCCACCTACTCACCCTCTCTCTCACTCACTCACTCACCCACTCACTCACTCACTCACCCACCAACTCACCCAACCACTCACCCAACCACTCACCCTTCCACCCACCCACTCACCCTCTCACTCACTCACCCACTCACTCACCCACTCACTCACCAACTCACTCACCAACTCACTCAACCCACTCACTCACCCACCCACCCACTCACCCAACCACTGAACTCACTCACTCACCCACCTACTCACCCTTTCTCTCACTCACTCACTCACTCACCCACTCACTCACTCACCCACCAACTCACCCAACCACTCTCCCAACCACTCACCCTTCCACTCACCTTCTCACTCACTCACCCACTCACTCACCCACTCACCCACTCACCCACTCACTCACCCACTCACTCACCAACTCACTCACCAACTCACTCAACCCACTCACTGACCCACCCACTCACCCTCTCACTCACTCACCCACTCACTCACCCAACCACTCACCCAACCACTCACCCACCCACCCACTCACCCTCTCACTCACCCACCCACTCGCCCACCCACTCACCCTCTCACTCACTCACCCACTCACTCACCCACTCACCCGCCCACCCACTGACCCACCCGCTCGCTTGGACGGAATCAGTAGCTCATTTACGGCTGAGAGAAAAGGTGGCCGGAAGGGGGTGGCCGGGAGGGGGGTGGTGGTGTTGGTGCCGGCCATCCACCCTCCACGTGCGCCGTGTCGGCCTTCACAGGGCGCCTGCTACAACACGCTCAGACCACTTGCCCCAACAGTCTACTGAAGGCTGCACGGGGGGGTTGGGGACCTTTGCCTGTGCGAACGTACGCAGGCGACGCTGAGGCAGGAGGGGCTGCTGCAGCAGTACAAGGCGAGGAGAGTTGGAGGGCAGCAGCTGGAGAAAGGGCAGCGTCACGCAGGTGGGCAGTGGCAGCCTGGCACAGGCCACAACAACTCACTCACCCGCTAATCCACTCAATCACTCGCACTCACCCTCTCACTCGCCCTCTCACTCGCCTACCCATTCACCTACCCATTCACACACCCTCTCACCCACTCACCCTTTCAATCACCCACTCATCCACCCATTCACCCACCCACTCACTCACCCATTCACCCACCCACTTATCCACCCATTCACCCACCCACTCACCCACCCACTCACCCACTCACCCATTCACCCACCCATTCACCCACCCATTCACCCACCCACTCACTCACCCACTCACTCATTCACCCACCCACTCACCCATTCACCCACCCACTCATCCATTCACCCACTCACTTGCGCATTACATGTGTTGTGTATGTGTATATACTGTGTAAGTGTACGGTGTGTGTACTGTGTGTAATGTGTGTGTATATACTGTGTACTGTGTGTATTATTTGTGTGTATACTGTGTGTGTACCGTGTATACTGTGTGTGTACGTACCGTGTGCGTGTACGGTATGTGTATTGTGTGTGTGTATACTGTGTACTGTGTGTATTATTTGTGTGTATACTGTGTGTGTACCGTGTATACTGTATGTGTATATACTGTGTAAGTGTACGGTGTGTGTACTGTGTGTATACTGTGTGTAATGTGTGTGTATATACTGTGTACTGTGTGTATTGTTTGTGTGTATACTGTGTGTGTACCGTGTATACTGTGTGTGTATGTACCGTGTGTGTGTACGGTGTGTGTACTGTGTGTATACTGTGTGTATTGTGTGTGTATACTGTGTACTGTGTGTATTGTTTGTGTGTATACTGTGTGTGTACCGTGTATACTGTGTGTGTACCGTGTATACTGTGTGTGTACGTATCGTGTGTGTGTACTGTGTGTGTGTATATATAGTGTGTGTACCGTGTGTACTGTGTGTGTACGTAGGGTCTCTGAGCTCCGTGCTGAAGGATCTGAAAGCGTTGAGTGTGGAAGCTCTCGCAGAAGAGGCAAAGCAGGGAGGGAGACCCGATGGCTGAATAACTCAAAACACGTGCACACGGGTACACGTGTGTACGTACACAACAGCCGCCGTTCGCCACTGAGTGGTGTCACCACGGCACCTGTGCCAGGCTAGGTGCACTTTAAGGCCATCACGTGACGTGCCGAATGCCCGCTGGCAGGAGGTCACGGGACAGACCCAGCAGAGGTGCCCGTGGGTTGACTGACTGAGATGACCGGCAGATGCACCACCAGCTGTACCCCCCTGCTGTGCCAAAGTCACACACAAAGACGAAGAGTTACACGCCACACGCTCATGCACGCAAATGCATACACGTGGACACAAATACACGCGCGCGTACACACATGTACAAAGGCAAATACACATGCAAGTATGCAAACACGCACACACGTACACATTCACAAACCATGCACAAGCCTTAAGACAGCTAGACAAAGATCCTCCATAACGCCTTTAACAGACTGTTGGCGCAAATGCTGTTAACAGGTGAAGGCTGGCACTGTGGCACACAAGGGAGTGGGTGGCCACCACCACACCCGGGCCCGCCTTTGTCTCCCCAGTGCTGATGTTTCATGCGCCGCACCAGGCACTGATTTAAGGCCGAGTCGACCCAGAGGACCAGTCGGCCCAGGACCAGTTAAAATATTCACCGTCGTCGGTTGTGAACGGGAATCGAACTCGGGCCGCCGGGTTTGTGGCGCAGCGCGCTAACCACTGCGCCGCCGCTCGCCACTTGGGCGCGCACACCACACGTGCGTGCACATCACGCGCGCACACACATCACACGTGCACACACACCACACGTGCACACACATCACACGTGCGTGCACATCACACGTGCACACACATCACACGCGCACACACATCACACGCGCACACACACCAGACGCGCACACACACCACACGCGCACACACATCACACGTGCACACACATCACACGTGCACACACATCACACGTGCACACACATCACACTTGCACACACATCACACGTGCACACACATCACACTTGCACACACATCACACGTGCACGCACATCACACGTGCACACACATCACACGCGCACACACACCACACGTGCACACACACCACACGTGCACACACATCACACGTGCACACACATCACACGTGCACACACATCACACGTGCACACACATCACACGCGCACACACATCACACGCGCACGCACATCACACGCGCACACACATCACGCGCGCACACACATCACACTTGCACACACATCACACGTGCACACACACCACACGCGCACACACACACCACACGCGCACGCACATCACACGCGCACACACATCACACGTGCACACACACCACACGTGCACACACATCACACGCGCACACACATCACACGCGCACACACATCACACGCGCACACACATCACGCGCGCACACACATCACACGCGCACACACATCACACGTGCACACACACATCACGCGCGCACACACATCACACGTGCACGCACACAGGTACGCAGACAAATCTCGAGTTCCTCAAAATGCTTGGGCAGTTTATACACGGAGTGGGCTTTTAGCGACCAATATTTCCCACAGTAGACGTTTTCCTTGGGTTTGGGGGTCGCGTAAATGTGTCGTCAAACTCGCCGCCGCCACCCGACACGGCCAGTCGGTGTGAGGGGGGTGGGGTTTGTCACGTGGCCAATTCGTTACCTGTTCAGTGCTTTGAGAGCGAAGCCCGCAACAGCATTGGCGGTCCGAGCAGGTGTGACGTACTCGCCGGTAATTACAACAGCGGTCGGCAGCGTCGTCGGGCGGCAGCCACAGATTTGTGGGGAAATCCTCCCTCCTGTTTCGGTCTCGGATAGACGGGGAGGGATCAACGTGGTGTCGTGACTTTTGAGGCAATCGGGTGCGAAGATCAGATGGGGTGGGGGGTGGTGGTGGTGGTGGTGGTTACTGGATTCATATAAATGACGACGGATATCCATTACCCGGGTGGGTTATTCACCGGGCTGAATTAGTCACGAATCGAGCACGTGCTGCGTTTCCGTGACACAAACCCAACAAATTGGCTGTGTCGCGGCGGCGGCGGCGGGTGTAACGACGCAACATTTATATTTAGGCCATCTAACCCGAGAAAAATCGAAACTTTGATTTAAAGCTTTCGTGACTGCAGTAATTCATATTCTTAGCTCTTTCGGTAAAGTCACGTTGAAGGGAAACAATAAAATCATAAAATATATATAAAACAATACAAAGCGAAACCTTTTCAAAAACAGAGGTTTCGATTTTTATATGCTTAGCTCTTTCGGTAAAGTCACGTTGAAGGGAAACAATAAAATCATAAAATATATATAAAACAATACAAAGCGAAACCTTTTCAAAAACAGAGGTTTCGATTTTTATATGCTTAGCTCTTTCGGTAAAGTCACGTTGAAGGGAAACAATAAAATCATAAAATATATATAAAACAATACAAATTCTCACGACGTCTCGACCATAACACAAATGGTCGTTTGTGTTATGGTCGAGACGCCGTGAGAATTTTTATTGTTTTATATATTTTTTATTATTTTATTGTTTCCCTTCAATGTGACTTTACCGAAAGAGCTAAGAATATAAAAATCGAAACCTCTGTTTTTGAAAAGGTTTCGCTTTTGTGCTTCAACATTTTTTCTTGTTCAGCAATGCCCCCCCCCCCCCCCCCCCCCCCCAGTGCCTTCGTGACGGTGCATTTACGCCGGCGTGCGAATGTTCTTGCCGTCGATGAACGCCCTCAAAGTTTGCGTCGATCGACGCCCAAACCCTCCGTGCCGGTTCAACCCTGGCAAGTAATTTTTTTGCCGAAATTGCATTTTTGTTTTTAAAAGCTTTCCACGTACGGGTAATAAAGTTGCGATCGCTGCGAACGTGCATACCCTCCTGCGCGTGAGACTTTGGCCCCACGATATATTCCACTGCTGGATGGGGAAGCCGCCTTCCCTTCGAACCTAAGTGGTTGTCAGTCATGGGGTGGGAGGGGGGGGGTGGTGGTGTTTAACCATACTTCACCACACTGGTCAATTTGGGGGGCGGTGGGGGTGGGGGTTGTGTTGGGTTTAAATAGATTTGGGTTGGGGTCCAAACAGGTCTGGTTCAGATATCATCACTTTGACACCGATGTTAGACCGTGGCCGGGAATCGAACTCGGGTCACCGGGGTTCAGAAGGCATGGGAATCATCCATCGTGATCATCACATTCTTACCCCGTGCACCTACTGGACGTGTGAAAAAGAGCTTTATTGCTCATCAGATTTTTGCAGTGTAAATATTCTGATTCTGACCACCGCCGTCATCACCAAACTTGACAAATCGGACTTACGTAATCAACTAACGTGTTAAATTTTGATTTAAAGCTTTCGTGACTGCAGGGATTCATATTCTTGGTTCTTTCGGTAAAGTCACCACGTAGAACGGAAACAGGAAAATAATACAAATATAAAACAATAAAATTCTCGCTACGTTTCGACTGCAACACAAGCAATCGTCATCAGGTGTGAAAACCACAGCAAGAAAATTTGAAAAAAGTGGCGGTTATTTTTTTTATTATTTCATTGTTTCCCTTCTACGTGGTGACTTTTACCGAAAGAACCAAGAATAACTAACGTATTACTTATTCCGCACGCGGTGACTTGCCAACCCTTTTTTTCTACTTTTGCACTCTCCTCTGTTCCTTTTTGTTTCGTTTGCCGTTGTGCACTTACCATGAGACCTTTTTGGCAATAAAACAGGAGTTATTAAGATGTTCAAACACCAAGTGGATTCAACCTTTCGCGAGGAATCAAGTCTGCATTAACCACACGGACTGGTGGTGAGCATGCGAACAAACATGCTCCGATAACTACGTGTTATTTTCCAATTGTTTATGCCTTTAAAGGTACAGAAAGTGGCTATTATCCCCCCCACAAACTTTGCTTTTGTGACCGGGACAGCGATATTTTTACATGTACCGATTTTCATTAAGAAAACGTGCGGTGTGCGTTTTATGTTTATTCCTTCACGTATTGTCCTGGTCACAAAAGCAAAGTTTGTGGGGGGTAATAATAGCCATGTTTTTTTTATATATACTTTTGAGGCATAAGCATTTAGAAAATAACACTTCGTACCCAGGAACAACAATCGTGTCACATCGTATCATGTGTGGATTGTCAACTCGCAAAACCCCACACGTTCAGTTCACCATGGAAGTGGAGATTGACAGAACTCTATCCCACTTCTGGATACATTCTCCTCGGACGCGGCCGAAACGGTCAAATAAGCCACACAGCGTTCGCCGAAAGAAAAAACGCTCACGGATGCCGATCCGAATGCACCATCGCCCACCCCCGCCGCACAGAAATGCTCCCTCATCGAGACGCTCGTACGCTGGGCTAAGAAAGTGTGATATGGTGAAAGTCTGAGGAGTGAGATGAAACTGAACTGAACGGTTTATAATGACGGACAAATCAACAAGGCACTGAATGCCAAATATCAAATCAAATAGGACAAGCGTTAACATTGATCAGGCAATTATTAAAATACCATACCATTGCAGGAGTAACTGATAAACTAGCCAGGTTTATGGAAAAAAACAAAACATCCAAGTAGGATTTGGCACGGTGCACGGAATACAAAAACTAACATCTGGTACTAAAGATGTAATTACCGAAGCTATCAACAGACGGGTGTGTACCGGATTAATTTGCTCTTGTGACAAATGCTATGTTGGTCAGACGGGACTAATGATCAGCACGAGACTAAAAGAACACCAATTGAATATGAAATACTTCCAAATAGAGCTGGAGGCAGTGGCAGGGCACGCGTGCCAACAAGGATACTCAATTGATTTTGTTAATGTTGAAGTTCCGTGCAAAAACTAGTTACTACTTGCCAAGTACTAATTATAGAATCTATCGAAATCGAGGGAAATAAAAATATATATTTAACCGTTCTGATAGCTGCAGGCTTAGGTGCTGTTCGGAAGCTAATCAAGTAGAATTACTACTAGACTTTCACCAGACAATAACAGCTATTGCGATTCCTTGCACCCAACTGAATGGCAGGACTACGGTACATGTGTAATGGTTTCAATTGAGGCACACACTTTAACTTTGTAGGCAACACAGTTTATTTACTAACGTAACAGATACTCAGATGTTCACAGGATAACGATATAGGGTGCTGACCATCGCTCCTAACTTAGGGGCCCGTCCATAAATGACGTCACGCACCTGGAGGGGGGGGGGGGTTGAGAAATGTGACGTCACATCAAAATGCCCAACTTTAAATATATATAGAATTGCTATAACACTAATTGTTATAACAACGCTCCTACAACATCAGAGTGCAGCGCCACATTAAATACGCACTACAATGACAATAATTTAAAGCGATTTGAAGCATGGAAATATGGTTTGGGGGGGGGGGGCAGAGCTTTGTGACGTCATATTTGAGGGGGGGGTCTGACTTTTTGTGACGTCGAGTGACGAAGGGGGGGGGAGTCAAAAATCGTCCAAAATCGCGTGACGTCATTTATGGACGGTCCCTTAACGAAGAC